CTCTCTCACACACACACACACGTAGATACTAATCTATGTTCGTTCTTAATTTCTTTTAACTTATAATCTGTTCGTTTACACCATGTCTGTTTTTGTCTTTTTTTGGTGTTTCCTGAGCCGAGCACAGTTTATGATTTCAATCTGCATAAGTTGTTCACCTGTCTCTCTCTAATCTAGGGGTCACCGTAGGACCTGCGAGGCGCAGACAAAACTTATAAATTTATATTTAGCAGCGTGGTGAAATCAGGCGCTCGTCAAAACAGGGAAGCAAAGAAACTGGTATTGTTCTCGACGTTGGGCAAATTTTTTCCGATTTCTTTTGGCTCAACACCTTTTATGGCCTTTTTAAAGGAACTTCTTGTGTGAATATTAGAGGAAAAAAGAGGCACCAGATATGTACATTTCCTGTTTCTAAGAACACTCAAGCTTTCGAAGTCACTAAACAGCCATTTTCTTGCAAATGTTACCTCTGTCACCAGGCTACCTCCACCTCTTTCAATGGCAAATATCCTGACTTCTATTCAAGATAGATGGGTATTTTTTCCCCAGAGCAAGACATACGAGCAAGCTTTTACATGATACCAATAATTCTACATGCCCAATAATTGACGAGCGCCTGATTCCATCGCGTCAAGACATATAATCATGCTGAGTACTTTGTCTTACTTAACTTTTACTTTTTCCTTCTTCTGGTATCCTTAGGATGTCGAGGGGAGGTGCAGGTTTTGGTTCTGTGGTAGGTGTGTAGCGTCTGTGTCACCAACATAACGTCACCATGCATTATGTTGAAGTAATCAGTGCAAATTAAACGAGCATACACTATAAACTTCCTAACTAATAGCTAGCGTATTGTTAGAGTAGTTAGTGTGCTGTATTGAACACAAAACAAATGTAGTTATCCGGCCAACTTAAAAAAATAGTGATTTTTAATGCAGACAGTTAATGAAAGACTAATGTGTTTTAAATACGTTGTTTTTGGAAACTCATAGAAATATCCCCCAAGGACGACAGTACAAAATAATTTTTTAAAGGCAGAAAGCAAAAACAAAAACAAAAGCAAAACAAAACAAGTTTAGAAAAAACAAACAAATAGACATGACAGCTGGCCCTGTGAAAACATCATGAGCTTTTTGGACTTCTTTAAAATATTAATATATTTTTAAGTGTTTTATAGCGCTCGCAACTGCATAAGGTCATACGAGCGCGCGGGACACATTAAACATTTTCAACTGGTAGGAAAAATGTGAATTTTGCCCGGGTGGCGGCCGAAGCTTACTCTTACTTATTGATTTTAGCCCACCAAAGGATCGATTTTAGCCCACAGAAATAGTCAGGAGCCTAGAGGAGAGGACAAAAGAGGTGAGGGGGTAGGGGTAGAAAGTGGAAACGAAAGCAGACGACAGAACATTGCTTGAGAGCAGGAAAGGAGGTGAAAGGAGACAAATTAAGAAAAGAAAATATTTCCGTCGCCATCCGGATTTGAACCCGGGACCT